CTCTTCATGGCTACTCTCCCCACAGAGCTTCTCTTCTTCCCTCACAGCCCTTCTTCCCACAGGGACCCCCCTCCCCCCTCACAGCCCCTCTCCCCTCACAGCCCCTCTCCCTTCATGGTCCCTCAGCCCTCATGGCTACTTTCCCCGCACAGCCCTGCAACCCCCCACGAAGCAGCACAACACTTGGGTGGAGGCCGGGACCATCCCTCACCGTCTCCAGGCTCAGGTCTCACAAGCTGAGGGATCAAGCTGGGGACCCCCTGTTACAGTTCGGAAGAGGCAGACTCTTACCGAGGTGCTGATTTGAATACCCATCGAGAGATGAGGGTACAAACGAGGCCATATATTGTCAACACCACTACAAAGCTTTATTGACACAGAGAGAGAGAGAGAAAGGGAGAAAGGGAGGAAGAGGAGCACACCACAATAGTCACCACTGGGGATCTGTAGCATCTGGTGGTTTTTCCTGTCCAGCAGTGGTCCAGTCCAGGCAGGCAGGCAGGCCGGCCTCAGCTCTGCTCCGATCCACTCCAATTTGCTCTTCTTCACTCCGCTCCTTTTTTCCTCTTTTTGCTTTTTCTTGCTTCCCTCTTGTTTCGCTCCTGCTTCCCTCTTGTTTCCCCCAGACGCTGCCAAGGATCGTTTTTGTACCGTAGTCCCAGGCCAATCCGATGGTGATGTGTTGCGATCAAGCGGTGAGATCCAATCCAACAGTTGCTTTCACGTGCCGATGGCGAGCTGGCAGTCTGTGCAACCTCCATTACACAGCTTGCAAGCTGTAGCACATCAGCCAAACAAATTCATGCCTCTAGCTGTTACCGCGTAGCGACAAAAAAAGATATTTCCAGGGAGCCATGTCATCTAGCCCAGGGTCCTACCACATCTGTCTCTACTTCTTCTCCAAAACCACAAGGTACAAAGTTTGAGACAAACATGAAGTTCAGTGGTCCTAATTCTTACACTCCCACATGGGCAGGAGGACCCTGTCCCCCCAACTCTCAGCCATGCTGGAGCTGCTTGCCCCTACGTGAAAAGTTTCTTAGGGATGGGGATAACAAATAGATAATGAAGGCTGTGACCTAATTAATGGCTGAAGAGCCTCCAACCTTTCTGTGCTGGGCTTCGTGATGCTGCCCCAGCTCTTCGCCGGGAGCCAGGCTGGAGGGCTGATCACAAGGGAGATGCCCAGAAGCTTGAAACACGCGGAGGATTTTACTCCTGCAAGTGCAGAGGATGCATGTGTCTGTTCTTGCTCCCCTGGACAGGAAAGCTGGAAGCAAAAGCCCCAGACATCAGCCTGAAAACCCTCTGTTGGGAGCGCAGCCATTCTCTGCATGAGGGGAGTTTTGTTTCTTTCTGTTCCAAAGATACAATTTTCAAGCTGACAGAAAAAATTCCTCCCAGGCATTTCTATGCCAACCTTTTCCAAGCTCTCCAGTATGACTTGCTCCCTTTCTGCTGCCTGACCTGCTGGGAGATGATCACTCTCATTTTCGTGTCTCATTTTAACAAGGCACGCTCCCATGAGTGTCTTCAGTAAACGAACACCATTTTGTCCAGAGACACGCTGGAAATTACAGGCCACGAGCGGTCTGAAGCTCTGCTTCTGCCACTGCAAACGTTTGCCTACAGCCCAGGGCCTGGTTTGGTTTTTCCACTTGCAATCCTCCCTCCAGGGGCTCCGGCAAAGCAAGTGCTGCCAGCCCTCTGCTGTGCAAGCTGCCCCGGGGTTGAGAGAAAATCTTCAGTAAATAATTAAGCAATCAAAGGTCATAATGGCTCAGACCTTCGAATACAGCTGCTCCTGTTGGAGGTTAACCAGGGGGTATTTGCAGCCAATGGTCCAAGACAAGGAAGAGCAGAAGGTTTAGGGAAGCAGCAGGGACCGTAGGAAGTTCTGAGCAAATACCTGCATCCAGCCCTAGGACACAGGAGGGCTCTGGCAGGGGTGAAGCGAGCGCAGTGAGGAAAAGGGTGTCTGGACAGGCCTGAGCAGGGCAGACTGGGGAAGCTGGGGCATGAGACAGAGCAGCACGGCTGGCTGAGCGGGAGGCATCGAGAAGAGCAGGACAGCCATGGCACACTCGGCAGAGTCCTGGAAATGAGCTGTGGGAGTGAAAACAAGAAAGGCAGCATTTTCAGCTGGCGTTTAGTAACAATATGGCTTTGAAATTACTAATTTGCAGATGTAGAGAAGGCACATAAATTTGAAGACAGCTCTCCAAGATCAGCTCCATTTTCTGTGAACAGGTATTGGGAAAAAAAAAAAAAAGAAGAAGAAAAAGATTATGGCTTCGCAGAGCAGCCCATATACGCTACTCACTGCACCCAATATGCTAATCACAACAGGGCAACGTGGCCTGTTATCTCAAAACACGGCAGATGCTGTCGCCCCACCAAAGGCTGTTCCCGTTGCTCTGGCATATTGCAGCGAAGCAGCGTGGGGAAGCAGAACAGAAATGCGTGGGCAGGAGAAGCAGAGCACCGTCAGTGAGACGTGGCCACTGCCCAGTGGCTCAGATCACTTGAAGACGAAGCCGTATTTCAGCGGGTCCTCCTCTTCGACAGTGAAGGTGGCTGTACCAGTGTAAAAGGCTTCTCCAGAGACTTCCACAATGACAGCGTTGTACTCCCCAAACTTGGCTTCCTGCAGAGGGATTAGGATCAGGACGGAGGTGACAGGAGGAGGTTCTCTGCTCTCCCAATCCCCCAAAATGCCAGCGCTACCTGGCACTGAGCACCCCTCACCAAGCGCCCTGCCCTGCCCAGGTACATCCCAAAGTGTGCAGCAGCCCTTTTACCGCCTCACCTTGCCTGCACGAGCTCCACAACTGCTGCTGCCCCTGCGCTGCCACAGCCTGGGTTTGCCTCACAGGAGGCCGACAAGCTGGTGGCCGCTTGCACCCAGAGACGGAGAGGTCCCCGGGGCACATCCAAACCTTCACAGCCACATGCTGCCAGATGTCACGGGGCCAAGGCTGGGCCTGGAAACCTGGATGCACAGACCCAGCTTCTACATCTCCAAATAACGCGCTCAGCCTTTGAGCAGGGAAGAGGGGACTAAACCAGGAATCCACCCTTAGCTGCCACTGAGAACACACCAGACTGATTTATCTCCATCAGGGATGTTTCTCACCCCAGTCAGTCCTTTCCCGATGGCCGAGAGATTTGCAGGGAAGCCATGCAACAGAACAAGGTCTTACTCCTACTTGCTTCTCTAATACAAAATCTTGAAGCATGAGGCTTCATACGCCTTACGAGGCTCCATACGCCCTTCCCCAGCCACAGGGAGCCTTTTCTGCTTCTCCACTGAGCCAAGGCAACAGCACTTTTCCAGCAATCCTCCAGACAGAGGGAAAGTCCAGCGCCAGCCACTTGCCTTCGCTGCCTTCCCGGTGAACAAGGACCCCGTGGTGCTGCTCCGGAAGGTTCTGGTCTGATTCAGCTGGATGAGTCCCTTGTGGTACTGCAGGGCGATGCGAGCCGTCACACCCGAACCTGTCGGGCTTCGGTCAACCTACGTTCAGAAGAGAAGATGAACCAGCTCTAGTATTTTGGGGTTTAACAGAAAACAGTATTGCTCCCCTTGGTTCTCTTTGCCACCTTTACCACACACGGGGGAAACTCCTCTAGCCCAGGGTTTTGTACAGAATCCGGATACATCACAAATGAGAAAATAAAATTAGCAGGTTTGGGCTACTTATGGATTGTGATCTGCTTTGGCAAACTTGTAGGGATGATGATCTAATAAATATTGAGGCTATTTAGGGAGCACGTCAAAGCTTCCCAGCATCACAGCAAGAGGACTGAGAGGGGCAGCGGCCACCTTCCCCATTCTTCAAAAACACAGCGCTGACCAGCTTCCGAGGTCATCTGTCCCAGCGCTCCACACTCCTCACTGCTGGGAAGCCCAACCAAAACTTCCCCTGCTACTTACCCACTGCAGACAAGGAGAGAAGCTTAGCCCCCCCTCTTTTCTCTCTTGCTCTGGTCATCCCCAGCAACTCCCCTAGATTTGAAGGGCATGCACTATGTTGGGATCCCATCTCAGCCCCTGAACTACTGGGAAACTCCTACCTGTGGGACGTGGGTATGAACTATTTTAAAACGCCACCAACTATGATGCGCAGAGGTATATCTGTCATTAGGAACTACAGCAGCATGTCTTAAGTGACACTCAGAGGCATCCCTGTAACAGAGGCAGCAGAACTGTCCCTCGTCTCTGCAGGGAAAAAGGTGGCGCCTTGTGTGTCTGAGAAGAGCCTGTTTCTGTACCTGTTCATCTGCAAACACACAGATGTTGGTGGTGGGCTCCTCACTAAAGGCATCTTTCCCATCTGTCAGTATGGTGCCGTAAAGGAAAGCCAGTTCTTCACTTTCAGGGTGATGAAGCTTGAACTGGGAACAAGCACAGAGAGGTTCACCAACGCGCGCACCGGCCGGGCAGTCAGCAGTACGTGCAGTACAGCTTCCTCAAGAGACCAGAGGAAGGGGACGAGGCCACGCTGCTGCGTTTCCACCTCTGCTTCTCCAGTCACAGAGACGGACGCAGCAGCAGGGAAACGAGCTCCTTCTCATGTCCTTGTGAGGCTAGAGGAGGACTCTGGAATTCAACCTGCGGCTGGAAGCATCTCGGGGGGGAATAAAGGGCCTCGGTCTGGTGCAGTCACCCCAAAGGGAACACGCTGGGGTACTGCAGCACTCTGCCATACCTGTTTCTTCACAGCTTCTGTCACTGCGCTCGCCGCATTGACAAGGTCTCTAGTCTTTGAAGAGCACACATCGAGGCCCAGCTGCTCAGCGCTGAGGAAGGCATAGAAAGTGCCACCGTAGCTGATGTCAACCACCACCTTGCCATGACCGGGGACGTCGATGGCCAAGTCTGGGCAGAGAAAGGGAGGGTGGTGAGTGGGGGAAACCGTGCTGAGCTGTGGGCTCGCATGTGGAGCGAAGGAACCCAGCTGCGTGCAAGGGGACAGATGGGGACAAAGCCTTGACTGCTCCCATGTCTGAGAGCAGCATGTGACACCGTACGCCCTCCCCAGTGGCCTCTGAGGAACATGGGAGTCAGGGAGGACTTGCCAGGCACCCCTCAGCCAAGCCGCCAGCCCC